GCGTTACTATCTACGGCATTCTTGTTATTGTTGTCTTAAACCATGAATGGAAAAGTGGCCATCTGTAGCGATTATTACTAAGAATTCATCGAGTTTTCGTACTGCGTAGCTCGGTGGCCAGACAAAAAATTTTAGGAAATCCAAAACTGTGGCAGGTTTTCTTTGTATGTTCATACACTGAAATTGTTTGGCTTTAGTTTAGAGATGTTAAGGTGCAGCAGAGATCCTCGGCTTAACGATAAATGAAAGTTCTCTCATTTTATCTGCATATTTTGATGAGACACAGGACCTCATTCATGGTAAAAAATATAGTTTATGAAAGTATTGCATAAGTATTCAGCCGGTGGTACCGACAGTCTTCAGTTTTCATTGTATCTCATGGTTTAATGTTGATTGCGGCAATGTTTAACTCTCATGACAGTCAGGAACTTTTGATGACAGTTTATACTTTCGGGTCACGGCCTCAGACGAGTCGAACGGTGTTTACAGTCTTCCCGACCTTATGCCAGCGGTTGAGCTTCAGCACAGAAGAACCCGAGCCTACAACAGAGACTGTAGAGACATTTTCCCAGATTATTCTTGACCGTCTCCGGCGTTTTCAGCTTTTCGGTTGGCCAAATATTACGTTTCGCTTTCCTTTCTGGAAGTATTCGTAAGACATGCCGCAACCAGTTTAGCTGTGACTTATCTATCTGGAGAAGAGACCGCGATCACCTTGGGCACTTCTGCATACAGTGTGCGACATAACAATCTGCCTCCAATTCATTTCTTGAAGGCAGCTTTCTTGTCTTTAACTGTCAGTTGTATTTCTCGTGTCCACCAGGAAGCTCTTTTGTGACCACCAAGCAGCATGCCAACCTCGTTTGAATGATCAGAGTTTGGCGACAGCGCCAAGTCATCATCGGGACCTGTTCATACCATTGTTTGTAAATTTTGCTCTCTTCGCAGGCGGTAAAGCTTCCCATTTGATTCTTTGATTGCTTCTGCCACCATATCATCGTATGGTAATCTGTCTCTCAGGCAGTCGCATGCCAACAAGGTGATGATCGGTTAAATGCTCTGTGCCTCTCTTAACGCCAACATCCATTACAGAGCGTCGTAAGTTGCACAATATGATTATCTAATCGATCACTGATTTCTTTGCACAAGTTTTTAGATATAGTGATGTGCGTTTCGATACTCGAAGGAGATATTCGTAAGAGAGCTTTCTGCATAGAACTGAAAACTTTTCATGCTATATTTTTTAGGCTTAGAATTTCATTATTTCGGATCCGTCTGAATTTTTTGTGAAAGAGCTCTTGTGTTCCCCGTATATGTTAGGTTTTTCTTGGTTACGTTAATTAGTGGAATTGTTTGCTTTAATTTTTGTAGTTGCATAGCTTAATTACTCCTATATTCATTTATGCAACTCAGTTGCTCATTATTCTGAGAAGTTAGCACTGGCGTAGGGCAACAATAATCTGGGTACTTTGTCTTTGATTCTGATACCCTAGATGGCGATAGCAACAACAACCTTTTTGCAATCCCAGTTATTTTCTAATTGCAGGGTTTGAGCATCTTCAAGGCATTCTACGCTTTTCTCAAGTCTCCCCTTCCCTGCATACAGCAGTCTTACCATATTATTCCGCTTTTACATTCTTGGTCAAGTAGGCCGTCAGCAGTGCTTCTACGAATATGTGCTGGAAGATTCTGACCGTGCATGATGTCAGTCGTTATCGGTTGTACACATACGAATCTTGACAGCATATATGGCAAGACAGAAGCTTTCTGAATATCTGAGAGGCTACAGTATCTCAGTAGAATTCTACTAGAAGCCGAAGATCTTCAAAAACTGTTAGAATTTGCTCGACATTAACAGCTAGCAAGTGTCTCAGTCACTTTGCAGCCGCCGTGAAATCCACCCACCTCCTAACACAACTGTAATCCAAGGCAAAAATGATTGAAACCGGTTTTCTGCGACGAATCGCTGGTCTACCATCTCTGGACAGAGTCTGAAGTTCAGATATATTATAAGCCTTATTGTACAGCCGCTGTTTCTCCGGATTGAGAAGTGATGGCTGCGATGATTTTGGCCCGTCTTGTAAACGTTTTCAGAAAGACAGGCAAATCAGTTACTATTTGCTAGGCCAGTTTGCCGAAAACCTGAGGAACGGCTGAGAGTGATCTTAGGTAAGCACCTCGACGAGCTCTCCTTTAGACTCGTCTTATCTTACTCTGATGCTTAGACGGTGGCAGATAATCAGCAACGTTGCTACCTCCGCGAGATAGGCGGTCATTAAACTGGCTGGCTGGTCGGCCGAGCGGCCAGTGCAACTACCAAAGCACTCTGAACTTATCTGTTTTCCTCAGTGCAGAATGGAGACAATAAGTTACACGACTGTTCTCTACGTTGATGAATGTGGACTTTACCTTCAGTTCTTCTGTTTGCTGTTGGCCACAAGAATCTTTTGTATTCTTAAGCTAGGCATAGCCCTATGATGCAATATCTCATTACTTTAAACTGTCATTATTTCATCAACCGACTTTTTCAGAGTTCAAGACTGTGTTTAATGCATATCTTAAATTGTGAGAACAGGTTATTTTTATTTCACCCTAGAATGCTATCCTTTTTTGTTGTTGTTCACTATCCATTATATAGGAATATGATTTTATTGACACTGCAAATTTTGCCATTTTTTCTAAACCAAATGTAGCCACTTCAGCTTAGTACCTGTGAAATCTAGTATTCTTTTTCCTCGTTTTAAACTCGTTAGGAGGCTCTTTTTTAATGTGTCTCAAAGAACGAATCATTTTTCACTGAACATATCAGGAGAGAATCTACTATTCCGTCTAAAGGAACAGTAATTTCTATATTTAAATGCTAATACGTTTTCAAAGCTTTGCTCTGTTTATTGTAATATTTCAGACATTCAAATTTTATGAATTTCCCACGGTGTCTAATAGCTAGTAGTCTTTGTAGGACTCGGTCTGGTAGAAAACTCGCCATGAAGAATTAGTTCCAGATGGCCAATTGTTCCAGTTGTGGAAATGCTGGATGCGATAAATGTTGTGTTGGACCCCTTGGAGGTTAAGTATTGTTGATTGGTTATGTTGATTTTTTTAAAATATAGATTAATGTAGCAATCAAATTTGATGACAGCTTATCCTTTCCGGTCATGGAAGCAGATGCTTCATGCAGTCTCTCCAACGTTCTAGATCCTGTGCCAGTGTCTGAACTTCGACTCAAGATAGCCTGATTCTGGGGCACAGTCCTACCGTACACTTGCTTCAGATTATTCTTGGCCGCCCGGGTGTCTTCGGCTGATCGGTTTGGCAAGTGGTGTCTGTTACTCCTTCCTTTCTGAAAGTATTTTAAAGACGAGCCCAAGCCATCGCAGGTGTAACTTCTCAATCTGGAGAAGCATTAGTTATGCACTAAGACTTTCTCGGATATTTGTGCTTCAGACATTATCGAGACGCCGGAGCCCAGCACTTCTTTTTCTCAAACGTAAACAGGGTTTATGCCATGTTCGTGAAAGGTTTTTTGCACAACCGTCAATTCAATCGAACTGAACGCGCTACTGTAGTTGACGAAATCAATACAGAGTCGTATTTTCTATTCAGTATACATCTTCGTCACCTGTTGCACAAAATTTACATAGTCGAAAATTGAATATGTAAAAAATCAATTTGCACATAAAAATTTATTTGTCTTATCATTCGTACTCTAAACGGAAATTCATTTCTTACGGAAATGACTGCAGTCCATATTCTTATGACTATTATGTTCAGTGAGTAATGTAATATATTTTGCATTTAAAGAAATTAATTTAAATTTTGCAATCTTTTAGTAAAAATAGATGACCACGATACGCATACCAACGTTATATTGGTGATTCCGGGTGTGAGAAAGTCACGTTTTTTCGGATTACGAAAAACTTGTAGCATCGATTCAAAGTTTGGAGAAGTTGATCTCAGCGTCAAGGTCCATTTGTATTCTTGTACATCCAAAAAGCAGCCGAGTAATTACCTGTACCAGGTTAAGAAGCTTCCCGGGAAGATTATTCCCGAAAGTTGTAGTTACAGCGTGAAAAGTGATCAG